CAGAATAACAATTACACCAAATCACATCACACCATGTACACTATAAATTACACCTAATAATCTACTAAAAGTATTAATAAAATTTATTTTATACTAAACCACGAAACCATCGTTTCACCAAACCATTTACCAAAGCAGAATCATGCAATATGAAGTTTATACTAAACAACAAAACCATTAAAGCAACGAATAAATACCAAAAAATAGCACACCACTCAATATACCCAAATCCAATCTATAAAAGTGATTGATAAACGACCTTAATTCAGATTTAACAAAAATATATACCCAACATAGTAGATTATAAGATAACGATCATGAAAAAATATTCAAATATATTAAATAAAATAATTAAAATAATCATGTAAAAAAACACTAACTCAATGTGATTTATCACAAATACTTGATGTGTCCCATCCTCCGTTGTGTTGAATTAGAATTGAAAAATTGTTGGTATGTTTGAACTGTCGATCAGAAGGGAGTAGAAAGAGACTTTTATTTTTGTTAAAAAACTTTTTTTTTATGGGAGGGAATATATAACAAATCTAAGTAAATCGTGGAAGGCAAAAGAATTGGAGAAAATCAGGGATTATAAGAAAATTGTGGCTGACTAATTCTACGCTTCCTTTTTTTTTTTAATACTAAATTCTAGTTTTGAAAAACAACTATTGCTATATAGTAGTAATTAAGGTACTTAAATTGTATATTTAATATTTTTGCCCTATTATAATCTCTAAAGTTCCCTACCATTAAAAATAAATTACCAAAATCTCTTCTCAGATACATATCTATCCCCTCTCAGATACATCTCTCCCATTAAGTAATGAATCATTTGCAATGTATCAGATAGCCAAGGAATATATCCGAGAGCAATGAAATATTCAGTGTTTTTGAACATAATTGGGTAAACTTCTGAGGTAGGATGTAACTAGCCCCAAATATATGATACTTTTGTTCTATATACTTATATTTAATTTGGTTACATTATATTATGCAGTGGTCAAAATTCAGGCCCAATATATGATGGAAAATATCTTATGCAAGTTCTTCAAGAAAAATTCGGAGAAACTCGTTTGCATCGAGCTTTGACCGAAGTTGCCATCTCAAGCTTTGACATCAACTCTAATCCCATCACCGGAAACAATATGGCCTAAGAATGCCACAGACTTGAGCCAAAACTCACATTTAGAGATCTTAGCATATAACTCCTTATTCTTTAGAGTTTGGAGAACTATTCTGAGATGGCTAGCATGATCTTCCTCAGTCCTCAAATAGATTAGAATGTCATCAATGAACACGATAACAAACATATCTAAATAAGGCTTGAATACTCTATTCATAAGGTTCATGAATGTTGCAAGCGCATTGGTCAAACCCAGGGGCGGACCCACGTGTTGCCCAGGGGTTCACCCGAACCCCCTCAAAAAAAAATTACACTGCATATAAGGTGAATTTTTTGGATTTATGTGGATATATATATTTTGAACCCCCTAAATGACAAGGTGAACGAGATAGCCTAGTGGCAGCTCCCTTCAAAGTTAAGCCTGACGTCCAGGGATCGAATCCCTGGGTTAGCGTTTTATTTTTTAGTTTTTTACTTTCAGTTTTTTTTTTCCAGTTTCGATTTTAATGTTTTTTTTTTAATAAAACGTGCTAAAATGTGGTTTAAACCCAAAAAATTCAAGGGTCCCAACTCCCATACTCCCATAATCCCATTCCTAAAAGCTAATAACTTTTTCACTTTTCAATTCATTAAATCAC